TCACCCTTGCACATGAGTCCAATTCATTTTACAATTTTGAAAAACAAAGAACCATCTCTGACCAAAGGACTAGTTCCCTCAAGATTCCCTTCCCACCAAGTAATACATATTCTGGGTGTGGTCCATTACAGACTTTAGCAGTGCTTGGACTTCCCTTCGTTTTGCCACATATTTGTGGAATGAGCATCTCAGGACAGAGTGATGAAGTATCTCGGGACAGCACTGAAGATTTTAATAGGGTGAGAATGGCTTTTTCTCATTCTGTCCTGAATACTTCAGGAATACTTCAGGACAGAATTCACAAGTTCCAGAAGAGCTGGACTTCTAATTTCTCTTTTGAGTTCACATGGGAGAGGCATAGAAATTATGCTCTTTTATGCAGGTTGATTTCTTCTGCTGTAGAAGAATATCTGAAGGGAAGATGGGATCTTTCTCTAGACATCATACCAAAGATGTATCAGTGTTTCCCTTTCACAAGCCAAGAATGGCAAGGGTCAAAGTCACAAGTATTGCATCAAGACAACTTCAGTGTCCTTCACTTCCCAATAAACAAACATTCCCAAGGATGTAAGTGAACTTTTGGCCAGTGCCCATATGAAAGCTGTCTGAGGAGGTTCTCCAAGAACACAACATCGATTTTTGCAGTGTTCTGTGCATAGTTGTACTGTAAGTGCTGAGGATCTGGGCATGTTTAAAGAAGTTTAATGCCACAAGTAGCAGCATAATGGGACATTCTGTGGACAGTTTTTATGGCAGGTTTCTCTATACAGATTTCTCTGCAGTGCCTTTTCTTCTGTTCTTTTGTTTCTATTTGAAGAGCTTCCGTTTCTGCCTCTGTTTATTCAGTGCAGCACTACTTGTGAAAAAGCTGAGAGTCCTGAGAGGAGAGGCTATTTGGAAACTGAGGTGTTAGCTGTCAAAGCTGTCACACAGTGACCACCCCAACACTGTTTATTGTGATGAGAGTGCTTAAGGTGCATGTGAAGCCAGGATGTAGTTTCAGTTTTATTTCTTGATCTGAGTGTCTGCTGCTGACTGCTGTTTCACTACCTCCATGGAGCTTTTCCATGTTTTTTTAGTATCAAGTGTCCCAGATTTAAAAAAAGGAAAAAAAAAAAAAAGAGAACTGCTCCATTAAAACAGGAAAAAAAATCCACTATTGAATGTTATCATAGCTTTGGCTCAGCAGGCTTGATTATTACACCTTTTTTTGAAACAGCTTTCCAGCATGTCACTTTCCTGCCTAAATCATTCCACTATTTCTAGTATTAGAATTAAAGTATTTTACACCTACATCAGTCTCAGTCATAAGTGTAATTAATTAAGGTAATTAAAACTCTAAAGCCAGAGAAGAGTCAGTTACAATAGTTAGGAACTAAAAAAGCAGTATTTCTATTAATATGATGTTACTGTTAGATGATAACAAACTACAAAAATTAAAAAGGACAGGTTGTTCAGCCTTTATACTTAAAAATAAGCTCTTAATCTAAAATGCATGTGGTGTCCTTTCCTGGCTCACTTTCCTATTGCCTGAATTTGGCTCTCAAGAGACATCAGATGAAAGAAGTATTATGCACAGAGACTTGGGAGGAATTTTTACCTTAGTCCTACAAAGGACTTATCACAAGAAGTAATACAATATGAAGACAAAAGGTTCATATGCATGTTGAGCACATAGACAACACTCTGTTAGGACAACGTAGATACAACCACTGAAAAACTCATATAGGATTCCCTATTAAAACACAAAAATAAATTTGAGAGTAATATTAATACCAATTAACATGGCTCTCAGGAAAACAAAACAAAACAACAATAAAAAATAAAGCAAAACAACCAAACCAAAAAACAGACTCCTTTCTGGTTGTTTTATTTGATTAGACTCTAGAATTCATCTAGAGATACATTCATATTCTGGAGATAGGTTCATCTTTATAAGAAGTTTTAGGGCAATGAGAAATTGTAGTCTGCAGATGAATAAAGACTGTTAAGAATTAAATGCTAAGATATAGTCTGCAAATATTCAGATACAACAAGAGCACAGTGAGGTGTAACCTTGGCTCATTTAAGCAAAATTTGCTTTTATTCAAACGTAGTTGTACATATATAATGAAGAAATGTAAACCATACCTGTGAAACAAGATTGTATAATGATTTGGAGGAAAAAAATCAAGTTATAAGCAGCTCTACAATTGGGTAAGGACTAAAACGAGACACAAGAGCATAATGCATAAGGGTTATCAGCTTGTACTCTAGATTCTTGGAGTTTTACCCTTAAAGAATTTTCATATCATTACAAAGTTTTTGAATAAAAGATTTTTGCTCATGGACATTAGTTTAATAGTCAGGAGTCTGCTCTTCCAAAACAGGAGGAGAGATGGCAATTGGAGAAAATACTGAAACCCCCTGGATGCAATCAGTAGACATATGGCCGGATGAAGAATGACTTGCAATTTTCATCACTACATGTGGCAGACAAGTGCATGCGCTGTAGAATTCCAGTGCCAGATTTTCTACAGTGTTGGAAAGGTTGGAGAGATAACAGAAATAGCTATGAAATAATTGCTACATGGGGTAGAAAAAGAAAAAAAAAAAGCACCTTTGATTGAGATTTAAAAGGTTGAGTCTTTTAAAATCACTGGAAAGACCATCTGAGTTATGTAATAATTCCAGTGCTGTGAATACCTTTTGGGTATAAAACAGTTGTGATAAAAAGGCTTTTGACCTTGTGTGCAAAGGTAAAAATAAAAGAACCTGAAGCCCAAGGAACTTAGAAAACAATAAGATGCAGATTTTAATAGTAAGCAAACTTAAAGTACTACTACAAAAACTCTGTAGTATTCTTTGTATTGTCAACACCCCTCAAACAACTGAAAGACACATTTTAGCCAAAATGTTACTTTAGTATAGCTCCAGCTGTTGATCTCAATATTTCAAATATGATGTAACACACAGGACAGCAATAAAAGGATGTCAGCGTTGAATTGGAAAGGATATAAAGAAGTTGTTTGTCACTATTTTGATGTCCATCCCAATGTACAGGGTAAGAATAACTGCACTAAAACTTATCCATGCCATAAATTTATCCTACTTCTTCAACATGGACCTCAAAGCATGAAAATTCTACTTTCACTGTTAGAAAGTGCCTTCTAACAAATGTTGCTTGCTTTTAAGCATGTTACTTACTGCCTCTTCACTATGGAAAAGAAGGGGGGGAAATATAAATTATCCTTTCTTCGCTACCAGAGAGTTAGGTATTAATTTTGTTCTACCCCAATCTTACCACATTTCCCTAAACCACCACCATTTGTTCAATATATTCAGGAATTTATGTTTTCTAGATCTCATTCTCACTATTCTCCTTTGGGTACTCTCCAGCTGACACACACTGGCCCTTCTGTAGCCTCCTCAATACTCAGAGAAAGGACTATTTCACTTAACTTTTGGGCTATATTTTTGAATAAAATGTTAAAAACATAAGTGGTACAAATTTAATCTTGACATATCTTAAATGGTAAGGATCTTCTTTTGTAATATGCATGTTCCTTAATGCACAAACCACAAAAGAATTCACTTGTGTAATCATCCGTTTTGGGACTATCAGTATTTTGCTGTTTTAAGTAATGGAGGAACTTAACAGGTTTAAAATGCACCATTGTTCATATATATGTTGACAAGTTGGTCTAAGCATCCATGAAGAAATATTTATCCATAATTTTTTGAGTTGTATGGTAGTACAGAGAAAAACCGTCAAGGTTTTATAATTTCACTTTGATTTCCATGTGAGATAAGGAAAGGTCCATCCTAAAGTTACCAACTCCCCTTTTCCTGTCTATCACAAGGACAGAATTCCAGACACCCAATAAGCTAAAAATTCTTTTTCAATAGCTTCTTGCAATTTTCAGTCTTGCCATTAAACTTTAGTAAATATTTGTTATTGTTCCGTGTTTTGAGCCACTTTTTTTTCAGTGGGGTTATCATTTCCTTTACTTGACAAGATTCTAATCTGTCACAGGTGTGAACTTAAATAAATTCTCCAGAAGACAAAGGGGTTTCTTCTCAGTTGTAACTGATTTTAACAGAACTCTGAATTTGTTTTTTCCCACTATTCTCCTTTTCCTTGGATTTTTCTGGATTTGTCTCCATGCAGCTGGGGACAGTTCTATTTGGCTAGATTTTAATCCACTAATAATACTTCCAAAAAAATATCATACTTCAAAAACATCATAGCATCAAAACTCTGACTTAATTTGCCAGTGTAGAATGATTTCTCTCAAAATCAACCCTCAGAGCAGTGGTTGCTATGGTTTGGTTGTGGTTTGTGCAGGGAGCATGAATCCAGTACAGCACACATGCATACCAGCTCACTCATGTAATTGTGGCTTCTGTGCCTAGTGCAAAGCACCATTAGTTTTTGAGCACCTGTCTGCTGAGGGTGTAGCTTTCTGTGCAGCTTTTCCACTTTTCTAATCTGAGCTTGCTAGAAAAGTTTAGACTTTCTACAACTTATATTAAAAATGTATTTGAAGATGTTCAGAGACCTGTACCTCTCTTAGTAAAGGCCAAAATATGTTTTTGTCTCTCTTCCCTTCCCTTAAAACTCTTTCTTGGAGCAAAAAAAAGTCAGCAAGACTATATCAGTGCTCATATGAAACCTTGCAGCTGGTCTTTTAAGCAAATTGTGGAATTAAATTATAATTTAGTTTTGAAACACAGGTATTAATATATTGGGTGAACTGTGCTGTTTTTGTGTCTAGTTCATGTCCTGGCAAAGACATTTTTGTGTCCTTGTACAGGGAGAACATTTTTGAATGCAGAGTCTCCTCCTCTCTAGTGTGATAAGATAATGCAACAAAAATATCTGGAGCAGGTTCAACAAAATATACTTTGTCTAGGGTGTTTGCAGTACTGATATCTTACCCGAAAACTTCATGAAACGCAGCCAAGTTCCTTCCTCAGATGTTTGCTTGATAAATTCATTCTGTTCTGCTATATTTCAGGTCCTAAAAATGAAGGTTTGAAACAGAAAACACTTTCCTCAGCAGCACTTGCCCCACCGATACCTCCATCACACGCCGCTGTGCCGCCTCCTCCACCAGCCTTTCACCCATCCCTGCAGGTGCCAGCAGCTCCCAGTCTGCCTCCCAGAAACATCAAGCCCAGCTCTGAAACAATGTGAGTGAACATAAGCCACAAGAACTTTATTTTCTCACCTTTCTCTGCCTACCACTTTCCTCCTGGCACAGCAGTCGATGGCTGCATGTGTTCCAGGTTTCTGAGAGAGTGGTGTCTCACACTACTTTTTTTATCCCACCCTGTACCTGGCATGTTTAGAATTAGCTTTTTGTATTAGTTTCAACCCTCCAAATATTCAGTTGTTTCCCTGAATTGTCTTGTGTATAACAACAATTTGTTTTTGTCCTCGGTTGTTGAGGCTAGGGGAAGGGAACAGACTGGTTTTTTACTCCAGAACAACACTGATAGAAAATCAGTGGCCTCAATAGCTTAAGGTTTTCCCTGAATTTTTCTGGGCAAAGAGAGTGAGGAGGGTCAGGTCTATGAGCCAATACCCCAGGAAGCAACTTTGCAACCTGGAGGAACTGAGCTCAGCACTGGTTGTGAAACTGCACTGAGGCTGTGACTTGGCCTTGTGTGATAACCCTGAGAAGCCTCTGTTGTTATGGGGCTCCTTTCTTTATCCTGCTTTGAAGAGCTGCGTACAGCTGTGGAACCTCTGCTGACAGAGTTGTAAGTACTTGAGTCCAGCACCAAAACTGACCAGAGTCAAGCTGAGCCTGAATCACGAGCTGCTTCCTGGCCAGCAGGCACTGCAAAGAACATCACCCATCAGGCAGGAGGAGGGAGGGAGGCGTGTCCAGCTCAGCGCTGTGTGACAGCATCAGTCCTGCCTCTCAGCCGCAGTACCTGCAGCAGCCATGCTGGGCATCCTCCTCTTTACCCAGGCATAGCAGCCAAGTTTGACATCAGACACTTTTTAAATGTACCTCCAGATGCCCTGTCTGCTCTCTCATTCCTGTGTGCCCTGTAAATTCTCCTCTCTTTTGAAAATTTGTGCCTGGATGCTGACACTTTTGCTTTCGCCTGTCTCCATGCTTTCCCCATCAAGCCAGTTTTAGAACATCCCATTCTGCTTTCAAGTCCTTTTTTTGATTACACTTCTTTGATGATAACTGTCAGCCCTTGTTTTCTTTCTGCTGTTAAAAAGCATTACGAAGTTAAATGTCTCTGATATTATTAGTTATATTCTCAATTCAATTTCCCATTTTTCTAATTTGAACAACATTTTAAATCTAAGAGCTCTGGTGACATTTTACCTGGCCTAACCTTTACACTGTTTCTCTTGTCCCTTGTTGAGACTTTAAGCCCAACAAGTCAAAGTCTCAGAGCTATATTTAGCATTGAGAAAAAGTCTGAAATTGTACTTTTGCACTGTAACAAGTCTGCAAAAATGGTTAAAAATCCCAACAGATTCTTTCCATTCAGTCAGCCCATCTGCTTATGATATTTTTCATACCACACTCTCTCTGAGTGCCTTTGGCTCACTTTGATGTTTTTTACTCTAGATCAAGATAGCCCCACCTGAAACACTGAGTCACAGTCAGAGAGAACACTTTAGAAAATCTTGTGTGTACTTAAGTAGGATATAAGGCTCAATAGACTGTTCTGTTTTGTATAAAATAGATAATAAAAAGCACCAGAAAAATGGTTAATGAAAATGTAATCATAAAACCATCTTCATAGGTTTCACATGTTTACCTTTTCATATTTACAGAAACCTAGAAAATGAAGAAAATTATGATGACGTTGAATTTGTTTCACAGGGTAAGATGCATACATTTTATACATTTTAATTAATGGCTACTGTGAGAGGATTTAAGCATGTTGTATTTATAAGATAAAGAAAAGTTTGTTGTATTCAAGAGTGATTTGTTTACTAATTATACTGATTCTGCCACTTTATGAAGATGGTTGTCTCATAGCACTACTGGATCTACTGTTCTGTGATTAATATGATAGACTCTCAGAAACTGCACTAAATTTCTTTCTTCCCACCCCCTTATCCTCTTCTTCTATTTTTTCTTCTTTTTATCTTTCTTTTTGTTTTTGCTTGGTTAGAAATATGCTGGGACTATAAATCACCAGATTTTCAAACCTGACCGAAAATGAATGCTGCTCTTTCAGAGCTGACGTTGTGTGGTCTAGTGAAGGAGGCACTGTTTTAATACTTGATTTAAAAAAAAAAAAAAAAAAGATGGGTTGACTGTGATTTTACTGTCACTTTGTGGTCTGAGGGCGTGAGAGGCAGTGAGTTGTACGAGGAGCAGCAGACAAGCAGATTGTGACACAAAGAATGCCCATCTGCCTTCTGACCCCTCCTTGGTGGCACTTGGTCTGTGCCAGGCACACTGTGCATCATTTAGTGTGTTAGCCATCCAGACTCACAGCACTGCAGGCTGTGCAGCTGGAGCACAGCTTTCCTTACCCACCTGCCTGCAGAGTAAGGAGGAATCAGGAGATTCACAGAATATCTTTTCCTGCTGCCCAGGGCAGAGGCTGGCTTACGAAAAGAGCCTTTGCCATACTTGTTCAGCTGTTGGGCTGGTGCAAGCAGTTTCTTTGAGGTCTCTTTGGATTTATTAGGTTTTTGACAATCATAAAAGTAGTGATTTTGTAAACAAATAACATAGGTAAATTCACTAACATCATTAAAGATTTTTTAAAACAAATTTTCCACTTTTAAAATACATGTGAAATATGCTGTTTGTAAATATTTTTAGTTTGCAATGTTCTGTGAAAGCAATCTAGAAAAACTGAATTTTGCATTCATACCTTCATCAAAAAACAGGAGTTTGCATAATAAAAGTTCATAGTTAATATCACTGATGTTATAGGCAGTTTTAAATAGTTAATGCTAGAATGAATTGTTTTCTGTACAAGAAAAATAAATAAATATCCTGGTCTTATTTTGTTCCTTTAGGTCATGGAAATACACAGAGGGTAAGTACTATCCAGCAACATAAACCTATCTTTTTAGCAAAAACTTACAAGTTCAGTGAAACTTCTTCCACACATTAGACAATTACTTGCAGATTTAATCCAGTGTATTCACAGTAAACTGTAGAAGCAATTATTTGTTGTGAAGGATAGAAATAAAATCAGAGAGAAGCAGAGTAAACTGGAACAAATTATCAAAGCTGGCTAGACCCAAAAATTGATTAAAAAAAAGAAAATGGAAAACTACTTCTTATCACTGACCTTTCATTTCACTGGAATTTTCCAGAAATAATAGAAAGAATGGTTGAGGTCCATTCTGGTAATAGAATATTTCAGTTAATATTTCAGCTATTCACAGATTTTTATCAGTACGTTCAAGCACCTGGCTATACAAGAATTAAGGCAATCTCTTAGACCCTAATCTGAGTCCCATTTAGATCCTTAGCATTCCAGTTTAAATAGGGCTAACCCTGACACCTTCATCATGGCAGTCCAATCATCAGCAATGATTAAGACTTTACAGAACACACTTTGCAGTTAAAACTTTGGATTAAGCAATATGCTTCGGTGATTCTAACAATCCAAGGCTTCATAGGTATGATATTGTAAAAAATAGCAGAAATAAATGAATAGTGTGTTCGAATAATGGAGTAACTTGTTTGGGGAAGAATAAAGGTATTTGCATTTTGCTATAAATGGTTTTTATATAGCTTGTATGCAGAACAAGTTTCTTCATGTCTATTCAACTGTACTTAGATCATTGAAAATGGATTCTTTTTTATAGGGTCAAGAAAGTGATGGAGAGATGTATGAAGACATTCATGACATCAGGTAGTGATTCAAAACTCTATGACCTATTGTACCTTTATTACTATCTTTTCTAATAGGTGTATTTCATCTCATATAAAAGTGCCATTCTGCTGCAGGCCCTGCCAGGGATTACTGTCTTCATTCATTTCACCTGGAGAAAGTCTGTCCCTTCACAGGTTCTTTCCCTCTTAGACCTGCCATGCCCTGGTGTGGCAGAACTCCTGCAATTAAATAATGCAGTCACTGTGATCAAGGTAACAGAACTCTGATTTCTGATCTAAGGAGTATGTCTGAACCACTGGTTGGAATTATAGCCTAGGAGGAAAAATAAGCTCAGCCCCAAGGTATTATGGTCCCAGATAGGTCTTTTGTGGTGGGGTTTTTTAAATTGCTTTTCAGATAAATATTCTTAGAACTCCTGTGAGAGGCTGGGTTGACAATTTTGGTTGCCTGGGTCAACTAGTATAGCTACAGAGACAGAATACAAGCTCTGCTGGTTCTTCCTCTATTTAGACCTTTCCTTTGGTGACTCTGTCTACTCCAGCAATGTCTAAATATATGGGATTTACAGTGTTACAATAGCCAAAGAAAAACTCTAATTCCCTCTGAATAAGTAATTGGTGTAGAATATTTCAGATGTACAATTTTCAAGAATTTATTGTTGAATCCCCTTTGATTTATAGCCCAAGTGATCCTTATTTTAGACACTTTTTTAGCAATTTGAGCCGACCTGTCTAGCAAAAGTATTGGGGGAAAAAAACAGGGAGTTTCACTTGAGCAGCTTCATAGAATTTCTAAAACACAGGTCTTCCAGCCAAATGGCAAGAGCAGGAGATGTAGGCCTAATTCCATGCCAAGTTCCCGAACCCCAGTACCTTCCAGTACCCAAGGCATGGTAGTTAGTGTACCCTGGTGTGAAAAAATGAGTGCAGAAGAACTGACTCATTGTGCAGACTGCTGGAATCGGCTGCACTCAATTTTAAAAACACTGCCAGTGGCATCTCAGGCTTCAGTTCAGCCTGCATCAACCACTGGTGGCCTGGGTAAATATTTAATAGCTGCATCCAGAACAACACCTAGACTGCTGCCAGTTCACAAGCATGCTCAACAAAATTATCTCAGAGACATTTGGACACACACCACATGTGGAGGCAGATGACCTTGTCTGGTGTGTTGCCCTCATGAGGGCAGACACTGTAACTTACAAATGTAGTAAAGGGCTGCTTACTCTATCTGTTGCAGCTGCATTATGGTTTAGAATCTGTAGCTTTGATTTCACTTGGAGAAGTCTTTTTTCATCACTAGCAGTTCTTTGCCAGCCTTGGGTAAGGTAGCTCTAAGGAAGATTTTCTTCACATATTCTGTCCTGGCAATGCTCTTTCAGATCATCAAGGGGAAAAGAGAAGAAGTGGGACAAAGAAGATAAGAGAAGACTGGACCAAGAGAAGAAAGAACAAAAGGAAAAAGAAAAGAAAGAGCATGAACTGAGGAAAAAGTTCAAAGTAAGCTTTTTATTTGGTAATGTGGACAAAGGTATGCAAGCAGCATTATTTAGCATTGTCGAGTTCAAAATAGACTTTTCACCTGGCTACGAAACTATTTGTTATGGTAGGTAGTTCAAACACCTGCATAAATTCTGAATAAGGGTTTAAGCTACCTTTTTTGTTTGGCATATGTTTGAATGCAAGCTGTGCACTGATGGATGGCAAAGACTGTTTGCTTACAGTTTTCATTAAATTACTTTCTCACCTTTTTTCTATGTAAGAAAGCCTTAAAATCATCTGTTTTCACTTTTCTGTTTCTAATGATTTATTACTAGAATTTATTATTTCTAATTTCATTAAAATAGCATCAAAAGCACTTAATAAAAGTGGGAATTGAATCCCATACACATAGTGTTATTTGCTTTACTGTAGTCAGATACAGAAGTATTTAGCCCTTTAAAGATTTCAAAATTGTATTGCAACACATTACTTTTGCCTTGGTGGAAAGGGACTTACAGTAAATTCCAGCCTAAATGAGGAGGAGGAAAATCGGACTTGTATAGGAGAGCTACAGTCATTCTCTGGGGCTAAATTGATGAGACAATTCTTTCTGTTTTAAATCATTTTTGCATAGCTGGTGGTCAGCATGCTCTCACAGTTTACAGGTCTGCCAGTCAGTTTTTCTTAAGTAATGCCCATTCACAATTCTCCATTCTGCTACTTTCAGTGTCACTGTACACAGTGGGCAGCTTTGTTTTTCTTTCTGTTATGCTCACATAACACATAAAGCCATCATGGTTCACATCAAGGCCTGCTGTGGAGAGCCTGACATGAGTTAAGAAGCAAATATTAAAGGTACACATAGTTAATAATAATGAGTTAGCTGGTGTTTATTGGGTACCAACTCTATTTTTTAGACCAGTCACACGAGGTGTAGGCATTAGTGCACAGAAAGCTTTTAGCTTGTACTCCTGCAACCATTAAGGTATTTTATTATTCTTAAACAAATATATTTTAATGCACATTTTCTTTCCCATTTATTGGCCACTTATACAGGATAGATATTCCAGAGTTAGTCTATAATTGACAAGAGCACTATGCCTCTAAAATACATATCTTAAAGTCACGAATACAAAATCCTAAAATGGCTTTTTCATAACATAATGTAAAGACCTCACAAAGTGAATCCTGGACATCAGTAAACATCTCTTGTGAGTACTTGCAAGATCATTTATAGAGTAGTATGGTAAACACAAAGCATTATGTGACAGATTCATTAGCATTAATGTTAATGAATATTTACTCATATGACTTGTATTAGGAATGGTGTGGCCAGCAGGATCAGGGATTGTCTGATTGTCCCCTGTACTTGGCACTGGTGAGGCTGCACCTTGAATCCCACATCCAGTTTTGGCCCCTTACTCCAAGAAAGACGCTGAGATGCTGGAGTGAGTCCAAAGAAGGGCGACAGAGCTGATCAAGGGTCTCAAGCACGAGTCCTGTGAGCAGCAGCTGAGGGAGCTGGGCATGTTTAGCTTGGAGAAAAGGTGGTTCAGGGGGGATCTTCTCACTCTCTACAACTGCCTGACCGGGAGTTGTAGCCAAGTGGGCATCAGTGTCTTCTTCCAAGTAACAAGGGATAGGAAAAGAGGAAATGGCCTCAAGTTGTTACAGGGAATATTTTGTTTAAATATTAGGAAAAATTTCTTCATGAAAAGGGTTGCAAAGGATTGGAAGAGGTGCCCGGTGAAGTGGTAGAATCACTGTCTGTAGAGGTATTTAGAACATCTGTAGATGTGGTGCTTAGGGACATGGTTTCGTTGAACTTGGCAGTGTTAGGCTAATGGTAGAGCTCAGTGATCTTAGAGGTCTTTTCCAACCTAAAAGATTCTATGATTCTATGAGTCGTTCTGCTGGAAATAAATGGAGACACCCATTGGAATTCAATGCATCTGTTTTGTGAACTCATAAAAGGTGTCATAGGCTAATTTGTTGATTTTAATCTTAGTATTTCTGTGATTTTGCCAGTGAGTTCTTCAATTGCTCTATTGCCATGTTTCTCCCCTCTCCTTTAATCTCTGGTTTTTTATTTAAACTATGTAATTCAAGCAGGAGGAAGCCCTTCTGTTTATTTGGCAACAGTACTTTAAATGCCAATGAAACAAATAACCATCATTATCATTATTTTTTACTACTTTTTCTGAATGTCTGGGAAAGAACTCGATTTTTCCCCACCTGTAATACCTTCTGTTTCTTCTTCAGTTAACAGGGCCCATTGAAGTCCTTCATCAGGCACGAGCTTGCGTTGACCACAAGGGAGGGAGGAATGAACTGACTGTCAAACAGGGGGATAAGATTGAAATCATTCGCCTCACAGACAACCCAGAAGGAAAGTGGCTGGGCAGGATAAAAGGATGCTGTGAGTTCTCTTTCTTCACTGTGCTCCTGAATATTTTCACTACATGACAGCAAACATGTGAGCATTACACCAAGGACTAGCCCTACCATGTCTGAGTCACAGGCCACCAAAGTAAATAATTACCCCAAGTCACCCTTCCATCCTCAGCTAGTTCATAGCAGAGAGTTATTGCACAACATAATGTAACACCTATAGGCACTGGAATAAGTTAGCATCAGTATGCTGGGACCTTCACTGACATACTGAGGGTGAATTCCCTGTCAGCAGCCTTCAAATAGCATCAGAACTCTGCTCCCTGCAAGTAACAAGTATTGTGGTTTTTCATGTCTTTGTATTAAACGTAACATAGTGTTCTTAAAATAGAATTAGAGAATATAAGGACCTGTTTTAAGTGTTTTTCTTGTTCCTATTCCTATGGAAAGTTTCTAACTGACTTCCAGGTTTTGTTTTCTCTAAAATCCTAAATGCTTCTCTTATTAAGGTGTAATTACCATCAGTGGATCTTTGAGAATAAAGAGGCTGATGATCTGGCTCCTGGGTTATAAAAGGTTGATCCATAGAATCAAACAGAATTATTAAAAGCATTTGCTTGATCTTTAGGGGAACTAAAATGCCAATAAAATTAGTAAGACAGTTCACACATAGAGAACAGAGTTCTACAAAATTGTAGATGATACCAGCTGAGCAGCTTGTAGTGATAGATATATACAGATAGTAAGGAACTGAGTGTCTTTCATGCAAAGAGAATCTGAGAGACCTGGGCCTGCTGAAAGGAAAATTAAGGGGTATCTTATAATTGTTCATAAATACCTGGTGGGAGGATGTAAAGAAAATGGAGCCAGGCTCTTTCCAGTTACCTAGTGACTTTGCAAGAGGCAACAGGCACATACTGAAATACAAGGGTTCCATGTGAACAGCAGAAAACACTTTTTTTACTGTGAGAGTGACCAAGCAAGGGAAAATGTTGCTCAGAGAGGTGGTGGAGTCTCCATCTGTGGAGATCTTCAAAACCTGACAGGACACAGTCCTTGCCAACTTGCTCTAATGGAGAATCATGTTTGTTTAAAGAGATTGGCCAAGATGATCTCAAGAGGCAAGTTCCAATGACAGCTTTTCCACCAAACTTTGAAGTTGTGAAAATAAGTCAATTACATTAATCATTTTGTACACAGTTGGTGAGAGTTGGGAGAAGGATATTTTCTAGTGCATGTGCAGTCCATTACTTAATTTACTTTTCATTAATTAATTCTTGCATTAGCAAAACTTGAAGCTGTACAAGGCTTCTCTTTGAAAAGTTTCAATAATGCAGACCAATTTTTTACACCAATGCTTCAGCCTTCCATGTTCACAGGCCAGTTCTTGTTTGGTGAAGACCAAACAAAAGAAGAAAAACAGTTCTTATCATTTAAGTAAGAGGAAAGATCAATGCCTTCCTCTTTGAGAGGAAACACACTAAAAACTGCATTCACTCAGAAGAAGGAGAGTGGGGAATTTTCCATTCTCAAAAAAAATGCATGAGCATTTTTCACCTTGGAGAAATCAATTTGTGCACTCTTCTGCACAGGCACTATACCTGTCAAAAATTACCCTCAGGAGAGACAGAGATCCTCATGTCAGGTCAACTGCTCTGGTCAATGCAGCTATAGTGCATCTGCCAACCCAAAGAAATGTCAATGTACATGATCCTCCTAATGACCTGTCAGGACCTTGATGCCATGGACTGGCCTAAAATATGCCACAAGACTGCAGTGGTGTTATGAATGGTTGTGGGGGTTTAGATAAATCCTTGCCTTTTGCCCAGGCCTTTGGCAGCAGGCAGTAGCTTTATTGAGGTGGCCAGCACCCCAAAACCCACTCTCATTTGCTGTTCTTTAACAATGGCTGATTTGGTCTATTATAGAATGGCTTATTTATTTAATAGATGTAAATATTTAATAATTTACATAGATGTAAAAAGTTTAATAGATGTAAAAAAGAATTAAACCAAACTAATACTACACAGGAATAAGGACAAAAAAAGACTTCTAGTAGGTAAATACAGCATGAGGTTAAAGGCACCTCTCAATGTTACAGCTAGTGAAGAAATAATATAACTTAGGATTCAATGTATCTTACCATCCTATTGTTGGTGGGGCACACATGGAGATCCTTTCCTTCAATCCCCAGGGAAGTAACCATGTGTCCAGACTCTGGGGAGAGGTCTTCCACACTTTCAGGGTGTGTATAGAGTTATTGCCTCTGCAATAACTCATGTGTGTCTTTTATAGTTTGTAGAACAGGGTTTCTTAGTCAAGAATATTTCTTTTATCTTTTCCCACATCAGCTCTCCATACTAACATGTTGATTCTTAGCTGGGGCCTGAGCCCTTTTGGTGCCAGACGCCCCCTTGCTGAGCCTTTCAGGCCAGGTTATCTCTCTTTATGCACCAACTCTCTGTGGTGGTCAGGGGGGGTAGATGTCCTGCCACAAGTGGTCCCAGAGCCAGCTGAGAAAAGGAGTCTGCCCCATGATTCCTGCAAGAAAATTCTTCTGCTGTACCTGAGAAGCAAGTAAGTGAACTAAACATCAGCTGAAGAGGGCTTAACATAGGGATCTGAGATAGATCTGATATTTTGATATTTGTATTTGTGTTGATAGATGAGGCTGCTTGGAATGAGACATTTCTTTGAAAGTTTTCAAAAATTGTAAAAAACAATTCAGTCACTGATTCTGAACCTCTTGTTAAAATCATGCCTTTATCGTGACCCTCAAACTGCATGGTTTCATTTATTTAGATGGATACATTAAAACAACCATGGTGGAGATTGATTATGATTCTTTAAAAAGAAAGCAAAAACCATCTACCAGAGCTGCTATGAAACATACAGAGAGTGACCAAGAAACATATGATGATGTTGGAGAGCAGGACAGTACTAGCAGGTATGTATAAGGAATGCATGAAATGAGACAAGTGATTCACCTGGGTCAGCCTAGATGGGGCAAGTTTTCCAACAACAAACCCAGCTCTTGTCACAAAACAGCCACTTATATAAGAAATGTGTAGCTATTATATGTAGCTATTCAGACAGAGTAGCTCATATGTGGTCAGAGAAGTTTAAATGAATTCTGGAATCCAGCATCTGTAAGCACTCATACTTAGGAGGACCCCATTCTGTTGAAATAGGAGCTACTTCATGGAAATCCAAAGGAGAAAAAAGTGCAAGCCACACAGGATTACAAATCATCTGCAGGAAGTCAATTCTCTTCCCTCCCTCTCTTTACTTGCTCTGTCTTTTTGGAGCCACATGCTCCCTTTTCTAAGATGCACGACTAAAAGACTCTAAAAGCAATGGGAACACTCACTGCACCAGGGAATTCCTGATCACCCTCATTGCCCTCATGAGCCTTAGCGTGAGTCTTTAACTCTTACTACCCCTTTCGTTTTGATGAGAAGGGACCTCTGAAATCCTGTCTAGGGTAACCCTTCAGAAGAGAGTGCAGCTTATGAATTTAACCCTGAAAACAAGGCCTCTCAAATTGCATGAGATGGGAAGAAGTTACACTTTTTTTTTTTGCTTCATTGGAAGCTTCTTCTCTATGGAACAGTCTCCATGCATTTGCAGTGAAATGCTACACTGCAGATTCTCTACTACAATGTGTCATCTATTTCCTGTCAAAAAGATCTGCAGCTAGAGAAGTGACATATCCAGCAGCAGATCAGACCTGCTGGCAGGGAAATACCCTAGTGGTCTTGTTGCAACACTCATTGCTATCACACAGCCTAGCATGACAGTGGTAATTATGTTGCTAGACCTCACAGGAAATTTTGCTGCTTACATGTGATTTAACAACCCCTTCTCCATTAAATGTCCTGATATGCAGAAACAGAGCCTGGGATTCAGGTAAGAGATCTGCATATGGCTGTAAAGGATTTCAATATGTAGGACAACCATCTTGAAGCACTCAGCCATTACACCTGCTCTTACTGCTTCCCATGAGGCTCCTTAGCTTAGAGGCCTGCCTGGAATAAAAGGACCGCAGCTGGCTGGCATAGAACATCCCCATGAGCTCCAGCAGCAGCACGTGGAAAAGTCTGCCTTCAGGCTGGCATTTTTCATGCAACCAGTGTAGCTTTGTGTGTGATGTTTTTCCAGGTTGCTCGGTATCAGTTTTCCTCCCAGCACATTGGTCTCATAGCATCATGACCTAGCCATGAGAGCCATGTTAGTTGTTCTAGGTTTCAGGTAATTTCAGCATTAGTTACTTCATTGCAGAGGTATCCTTGGCCAATCCTTTTCAGTAGGGCAAGCATTACAATTAGTCATCTCAATGCAAGGAATTTAGAAAATGCATTGCATTCAAAAGCAAACAATTGCACTGTTTGCTTACTAAAATAACAGTGTATTCCAAAGAGCTTCAAAGGATTAATGATTGGCTTAGATTCATTAAATCCTTTAAGCTGTATTTTGACATTTTTTTCTTCTCTAGTGATTAATAGCACTCTCTGTTCAGTTCATGAGCAAGATATATATGACATATATCAATATGTTTTGAAACCACTGGAAGAATGCCATTCCAAAAAAAACCTCCTAACCAAACTAACCAAATAGTATTATCTCATTATCAGTAGTATTGCTAATATTCCAAAATTAATAAGTGACTAGGGGTGTTGTATTTCAGTATTTCTTGGCACAAGAGTTTAACAAGTACCTTGTTTTGATGTATAATTTTAGGTAAGGTTTTGACCTGGAAATAATCTCAGCTACTATGAACCTCTCAGGCTTTTTTCAACTACTGTTAGACTGTTGGGCTAATATGGACTCCTTCCATATTGTTAGAAACATACACTTATACCCAGTGAAAGCTAGTTGAGCAATAAATTAACTTGTTTACCATTTCATTTCAAGAAGATCACCTCATAAGAAATGAATCTAAAGGGTCTGGATCTGCTCTGTAGTGCTTAGTCAGATTATATTTTTATTCCCATCAGGTCTGACTACATGATCTCCTGAGATCCCCTCCAACACACATTATCCTATGATTGAAAGGCATATTTCATACTTTAATTTTAAGATATCGACAGAAATATAAAATACATTCTAAATATTTTTGCCAAGGCCAAAAGCTTTAGAATTAATAATTGAAGAAGTGATGGGTGATCATGGTGCTTTCTTTTTCTGAAGGATGACTGATTTTCTCTAAAATGTCTTTTGTTTGCTTTTCCAGTCAAAGTGGTGACCAAAGTGGAGGTGGAAGTAAGTTCTACTTACGCGTTTGGGGGGAGTTTTTTTCTGTGTATTTCTTACCCTCACATTCTGACTTCTGCAGCTTCCACATAATGCAGTAATTATCCATAAGCAAGTTAAATGTCAGCTAACAGGCAACAAATAAGGAAGGGTAGTGACCAACTAAACTTCCCTGCCACCTATGGGAACTTGAGTGAGACAGAATGTTTGTCTCCAGATACTGTGAATCACCAGCATGCCAGATGATCAAACTTTAACTTTTTACTTGTGTGTGAAGGCAAATCATCCCACAAAACAGCACAGATGTAACTGGAGAAATATTAACATGAGGAAGATGTTTTGTACAGGAGAAATCCAGTTCTGAAATAGCCAGCACTATTATAAATTAAAGCTTCATTTTGCTGACAGAGTTAAAGGGAACTTCAATTGAAGCAGCACATCAGAGGCCCAACTGCAGCAGCTTCATGCTGACAAGCTGACACATTCAAACCCAGTTTTCCCTTTGTTAGCATATATATTTGTGTAGCATTCTCTGTTAATCACAAGAGCACAGCTCATCTTCTCAGCTTCAAGTTTAGATTCTGGTCATGGCAGAAGCATCCCCTGGCAAGTACTACTGAAGGAAGCACCTGCCAGCCAAGTACAGATTTCAGTGCCTACTCTGACCAGTGCCTAGAATTGGACATGCAAACCAAGGTAACCCTCCACAGAAGGAGGTGGGGCACAAAGGTCAAAACTGAAACCAAAATGGGGAGTTTACATTGCTCTTGTCTCTGACTTCTTTGGATGAAAACAAGATGTCAGCTGCTGACAGTGTTAGTCCAACATGTTCAATCATCACTTGTGTCACTCATGAAAACTTAAAACTCATCATAAGGTCTGGGCCAAAATTAGCCATTTAGAATTTCATTGACTGCAGTGTAGAAGCATTTGTTTTCAGTATGCATGCTCTTGTGATTGGCAGTACCACATTTAAATGCTGCAGATGGCATTCTAAATTGGAATAAGTCTAAATTTCTGTATCAATAAAGGGTCTGGGCCAGTTTACAGAAAGATTCAATTTGCAAGGATATTGTATAAACTGCACACACATCTGATTCAGTAAAGAAGCCTATAATTAATACTTTATTCAGCAACATGAAAAATAATTGCATTAACTCACTATTTGATCTGTTAAAGATTTGTTCCCATCTCCTCCTTCTGATCAAGACATTTATGATGGAATTGATGATGAAGATGCTATGGCTAGGTATGTTTTTATATATTTTAAATAATTTGCTTCTTTGACAGAATGTTTTTAGTGGTTTTGAATCAAGCATAAAAATTAGCAGGTATTGGGATGATCAGCAAGTTGGTATACATCAAAATGGCTATGTGAAGCTAGAGAAAAGGGTTCTTCAGTCTTTTGAAGAAGCTTTGTTCTGTAATTTTGATATATCAGCAAAAGTAGTTTGCAATCATGAAAATCTCCCAACTAGACAGAATAGGTCTGAAATCAGAATAACAGACTAAAATTCTAGGTTGCTGAGTAACAACACGAAAACAGTAAGCCACTAGATTAATATCTATACTACAAATACATCTCTGTAGCCACAAGTGGCCTAACATAAATATTTCTAGTTTAGCTTGTTAGCATTTGGGTAAGTAACTTCACTTCAGGAATTAAAGATAATTATGTGCATCAATGGAGAATTTTACTGGGCCTTTTGAGAAGAACATTACATTTTACATTGTGATAATCACATGCATACTCCAAAGGTCTGTATCGCAGGATGAAGATAAGAATGGTATCTGGCCCTGGGGAATCTTGAAGAGACTAAAGGTCAAAGATGGCAAAAAGAAAAGTGTACGAGAAAAAACAGCCAAAGTCAATGAGGCAGAAGAAAATGAAAATTTGTTGTAAGAGTCTGCCAGGAAATCAAAGTGCACATTAACTAATTCTAATAAAGCATTGATCACATGCTACTAACATGTCCTCACAGCAGCCTAATGAATCATGCATCAAATTGCAGCTCAGGATGATACTTTTCTGCAAAAACACTGAGCTTTCTTTTCACCTGCATAATTATTCTCTTAACAAGCTGTATTTGTTGCAAAAGACTGGTAATCAAAATATGCTGAATTCTTTTTTTTGGTGAAAAGCACCAGAATAATCTATCATCTTGCCACTGGTCATGTAAATTTGCTGCATACTCAGTTAAAATTTACTTTTCTCACCAGTACAATGTAGCTGAGATGAACTGGTAAATCTAGGCCTGATTATCAAAATTTTAGGAATAATACCTCAAACAGAAAAATGCAAAGATTGTATTCTATCCATCTTACCTAGAGAATAAATCAGCAGGTGGTGTTTCTGCCACATTCTTCAGTCATTTGGTTCTGAACCAGTTTACTTTAAATCAGTATAAAAATATATTTAGTCCCTAAGTATTGCTGGTGTTAGTGGCACTTCAAAATGTCTGGATATTACTTTAAACACTTCTGTTGCAAGTTTTTTAGATTATTTAGGTTACAAAAAAGGCTATTAATGTGATATAGATACTTAACGAGCTTTTTTTCCCCCGCAGCATGCATTCTTCAACAAAGCAGTCTGGAAAAGGTAATTAATAGCCTATTGTTCAGTCTCCATATTGATTCCTGATTCTTTTCTGTATACATTGCTCTGTATCGTGCTAGTCACAAAAATACATCCAAGGAAGGAAACAGGACTTCCTATTGCTTACCCAGTTCCAGTAAACAAATTTCAAATATTGTGTCTGATCCAGCTGCAGACAAGGAGATACATATACATGGCAAGCTCCCTGGTAAACAATTTAATGTATTTAATGTGATTTTTCTACCTGAGATTTGCACTAGTCCATTTTATTTGGCATTAAATAGGAACAGATACACCTGGAAATAAGCACTCAGTGAAAGACCTCAAAATTTAAGAGAAATTATTTGTTCAATTTTTATCACTTGCAGTGCCTCTGTAAAAGAACATATAACCATCAACTCAGTTATGGAATAAAAAGGAAGTTCTTCAAATTTTTGAGTCTGCTTCCAGAACTGAGTTCTAAACCTTCTATATCCTGATGATTTCTCTAGCCATTGGTTTGATGAGTCAAACAATTGCTTTCCCTCTACAGACATGCTGAACATGATTGAAAAAGTTTTCTTCGGCTAAGAATCCTCTTCACTGCTTTGACATTGCAAGATGGCCTAAAACCTAACATACCCATGATTCATTCATATCCACTTCTAAGCAATGTTGCATTGACCAGGGTGCTATAGAAGTTATTGAATGTGCATTAAAATCAAACTCAGAAAATATATTTTAGTGCAATACAGTGGGAATTTGATTAATTAAAATGAAAATTAAAGGCTATATCATGTGCCAAAACTTGCTTTGGTTTCAGAAGATTCAAATTTCAGTGAATATCTGTTATGAATAAAGAATCTTAATCTGAAAAGGCTGGGTAGTGTTGCACAGGTTGTGCAAAACAGAACCCAGAGTTACCATAGACTGTAAATGGCTACAGTACTTGCCATAATTTCTTATCAATTTCACTACATTGTAACACAATGTATTCAATTCTCATTTTTCACATAATAATGTTCCATTCTTTTGAACACTATTGTTTCAGATTATGGAGACAATGTTTATGATGATGTAGATTCTTCAGACTTCCCTGCTCCGCCACCTGATTCCAGGTAAGTGAAAATATTACTTCCCTGATTAGAAATCTAATACACAGAGAGACATTTTTAAAGTATATACCACAGGCAGATTGCTACTAATATCTGCTTTATTTTCTGTTGTCAGGTTTTCTAGTTCTCATAAACCTACTGATGATAATGGCAGTTAAATGCTCTTTTTTCCATTACAGATTGAAATAATAATTAGACTACAGAATAAGTAAGCATGTTTTGCATCTCAACATAGTCAGTCCCTGATGGAAAAGAGGTAGAAAATTATGCATGGGCTAAAGGAACTTAATTATAGATTGTAGTTCTTTTTCTATCAGAATCAGGGGACTGTTAGGATAGATACTTTATCTCAGCTGCTGCAGTATTTTAAGAGAAAAGGACCCAGTGCTCCTGTTTAAAGTATGAAACATATTTGGAGGTGTAAGTTGAGCTTGAAAAACTTTTATCCTGAACCAGAAAATTTTGGTCATCTCTGGAGCACATTGTTATGGGCACAGTTGCATCAGTGAGGATGACTGGGACATGTCACATCCTGTTGTCTCTTACTCCACTCAGGTGGAGTGACAGTGCACTACAATAATGTAGTCTGGGGATACAAAAAGAGAGAGATCTCTTTGGACTATGTATCCAAAAGAAAATATGTGGTCCTTCTAAGCTAAATCTAGGGTAGGTCAGACACACACATACATCATCAATGAAACTGTCATTCTGCCAAGATCAGCAAGGATCAAAAAGTAGAGTCTGCCTTTACATTCCCAGGTGCATCATCAGAAAGGGCAGTTAGGGCATGAAACCCTTCCACGGTCTTTGGCAAAAGTCAGTGCTACCAGGGATGTGCAAAAAACAACAGAACTTGAAACAGACCACGTAATGCAGATTCCCTGGTGTAGCAAAGTCTGCAGGCACACAGGACTAGCACACACAAGGCTAAGATGTTCCAGCTGCCTCCACAGCCGGAGTGTGACATGTAATTCAGCTTATTGCCCAAAGGTGCACAGTCTTCACAAAAACTGCTCCTTACTGAGAGATTCTAAAGTGTCTTAGGAGATGGATACTTAAAATTAATTTTTGATATTCACTTATGTGATAGCTGTACAGATATCAGAGAGAAGTAGGAAAGACAGCGCCAACTTTTTAACTTATTTTGAAGTCAAGTCTGTATTGTATTCTCACTATTAATTTTTTAGAGCAATTTGATAAAGACACATGAAGAAAAATGCATTTTCATCAAAATTATCAGAAAGCATGCCAATGCCTCTGATATGTTTCTAATTTTGTTTTACCTCTTGTTTTAGTTCATCAAAATCAGGAAGCTTTGGAAAACCTAAGTCAGATGAAAAAGATGCACAAAAGCTCAAGAAGATGGAAAAAGAAGAGAAAGAGTTCAGAAAAAAGTTCAAAGTAAGTTTTGTTCAAAGTGTTTTCTTTATATAAAATATAAAAACAAAGTATCTGTATAGTGTCTTCTATTTTGTTCCCCATAACTTGCTTTTGAAAGGGAAAGTATTACTACATGAATAAATAGTGATCTGAGCATCTCTAAGTCTAAATGGCAAGTATGGGCACGTACACATATTGCAGCATATACAAATATTTGTTAATTTCCAAAACTTTAGTAATAAATTTTATTTATTACTAAATAACTATTAATGGCAATATTAATGGAAAAGCATTAATGGGTTTTAACCATGTTTTGGGGATGTTTTTTCTCCTTTTCAGTTTGATGGTGAAATAAAAGTTCTTTACTCTACAACCACTGTCCAGGATTTATCGCAGAAAAGATGGGGATATAAAGACTTGCAAATTAAACCAGGGGAATCTCTTGACATTATTGAAAGTACAGATGATACCAAGGTCCTCTGCAGGAATGAAGAAGGAAAATGTAAGTTTTGTTTAAAAACTGTTGTACATATCAAATTGTCAGAGAGTGGTTGAGTAGGATGTATAAAACCTCTCTTCCCTGGTTTACTGAGGTTTACCTTGCCTGGTGGTTGACAAGAGGCAGATTGTTGTTATCTCATTACTGTGTTTTAACACTGGCTTGCCTTAAAAAAATCCAAACCACTTCCTATGGACAAGATATGCTAAGTATTAGAATAAAAGGACCATTTTTTGTGGAAAAGTTTTCCTTTGCAGCTATGATCAGCAGATGTTTTTCTTGCTTCTGTCTCTCCCCCTATGCCAAAAGGAGAGTAGCTATGATAGCCCACTAAATCTAGTAAAAGTAAAGTCCTTGCTGCACCTCTGGATAGCACTCACCCATTGATTGCAGCCAAGGGAAAATCAATAACAATATTCTTACTTTGGAAGAGATGCAGTTTAATCTTTTCAACAGGCTGGGGGGAACATTGCTTTGGAGTCTTCCCCCCAGCTCCCAGCTAATCCAAGGCATATGTCCTTGCTGGCATGTCTGCTTGTTCTGGGAGCTGCACGAGGCCTTTCAGTGTTTCTTTGAAATCCTTGGCCAGGGTTTGCACTGGCAGAAATTTTTGAATTTTTGGAGAAGTCCGAAACCATCTCCTGATGGTTTCAATTTCTTAATGAGCTTCTGTTACAACACTTTCCAAATCTCCTAGTGAAAATTCACTTTGTTCTGGAACAGCCTGCTTTCAAAGTAGCAGCATCCTCCTGCTCACCTTTCTTTTTTACCTCTGCCCTATGTAGAAGACAGTCCAATGCTATAAACCTCTGAAGAGGATTCAGCCACCTTCCTTTTATTTTTTCCCTCCTGTACTCAACTGTTACAGTCTGGAGTACAGCCTTCTTCCTGGCAGGCCTGCAGGGAGAGGAAGAATTTCTTGCATAACAACACATATGTTTTTCAAAATATGGATTGCACTGGTAGAGCCACTTCCCAAAAAAAACAGCTTTCAAAGCCACATTTTTTGAATCGAGCTAATAACAAAGTAGAAAGTAGTTCATGCTGGCTGTTTTCCTCTCATAGTCTTCAAAGCCTTTCAAATAATGACAAGAGCTACTGCTTTGCTATGCAAAAAAGAGCAAAACAAATAAAAATATCCTCCCTGAAAACCTCTGAATAGATCCCAGTCAATTTACACATTATTTAGCAAAGTTTGAATCCTACTTTAGTTAAGTCCATGACAGTTTTGTTTATTTGCTCTAGTTGTTCTAGTTCCTCGAATCTTAAAGCTATGATTTTACCTTCTGAAGGCCAGGTAGACTGAAAATCCACAACTAAAGATAGTTTTTTTTATTTTCTTGCACATTAATTCTTTGATTTAATCATCAACTTATGAAGCCCTTCCAGAGTTTCAAGCCAACAATTAAACAAAACCACAATTTATATTTCAATGTGTTCTCACCTCTTTAAGCAAGGGTTGATGATCTTAGGAACATACTCTGCTATGGCTTATTTTAAATGTTATGAAATTATTTGAAATGTCAGAAGTGAAACAAGGAACTGATTTTCATCTACATCTCAAATTCCTTCTTGGTCTGAACTCACACATATTGAAATACACAAAAGCTTTCAATTCAGCTTTGTAGATTTTGCCAAATCATTAGGACATAAATAGACTTCAGTGGCCCGAAGTTTAATTTTTGACCTCTCTGAGCTCCCTTTACATTGTCAGTGAGCAGCTGGCACAATGTGTTAGAACTTTCAGTGCTTGCTATGTAATCAACATGGAGTGTTCCAGCCTGCTGGCTTCTTCCTTATTTGGAAGCACCATAAAAAATAAATTATTTAGAAACTGAAACTTTGGACATGTAACTTTAGATTAGTAAATCTGAAAGAGTGTCAGACCAGTAGGGCTTGTATCTCCCACATATTTGAGGGCTAGTAATCATCAGAAGTACCTAGATAATGCTTTGCAATGGTAGAAGCTCTCACATGCACATGACTTCCAAGAACACTGTGTTTGTATGCCATGACTATGAGCAAAGAAACTTTGCTTTCATATATTTCACTTGAGAAAATTATATGAACAAGCAGAGAAGCTTAGATTAGCCAAATGATTTTGAATTATTTCCTGGAGACTTCAAAAATCATGGAAAATATTGGACTGTCCTATAAAGAATTTTGAAAAGACAATGATTTTAAAAAAAAAAATAAAAAAATCAATTTCTATGTCTTTATTCCAGAAAATAAAAAGTGGGGAAAGACAACTGAGCTAAGATATCCTGAACAGACACTGCTAATGATTAAAAGAAGGAAATCTGCTTAGTAATTTTAAATACAAGACAAGATCACATTTATTCTTTAGAACTCTCCTAATTTCTTACCAGCTTACTAGTGTTTACCTATAAACATGTAATTACTGTTCTAGCTCTCTCTTTTTTTGTATTCATTATACCAATTGAAGATTATTTCAGTAGATATCTTTCACCAAAGACAGGAAGTATTTTTTGAAAGAAATTATATACATTAAAAAAGAGTATGTGTAATTTTATCTGATTTCATTAGTAATGCACCATAATAGAATAATAGTCAGCTTTTCTAAGGTATTTCCATTATTGGTCTTATTAATGTTACAGTTTAAATTTTAAACAGTTACACATACACATACACAGTTACACAGAATATTTAATTGGAGTACACATCCTGAAATACATATTTTTTTTCTTGTATGAAACTCTAAATATTTCTGTTAGTTAATATTACTGCAAATATTATTATGTTGTTATTACTATACTGATTTTGTGCTATAGTTTTTGTTAATAACTGTTGTTTCACATCTCTCTTATGCAACCAAGAAACTGAAATAGAAGATGAAAACCTAATCTTGCATAACCTCTATTACTATTTAAGTAGGCAAATAAGAATAAGCAAAATATTGCACCTAGCAAAATCTTCATCAACTGGGTGCCCACTCTACATTGTTTTCCATCTATTATGTCTTTCTGTCTGAAGTATATAAAAGAGAAAAATTGCATTTCATTATTGCTAGCAACAGAGGTAATAATGAGTATTTCAATTTAACTTGAATACATCTATATTTCATTTTTACAGATGGCTACGTTCTGAGAAGTAATTTAGTTCAGAAGTAAGTGTAAAGTGATCATTTTGAAAAATTTGTTGTAACACTTAATTTTGTTCTAAATGGTCTAGTAAAAAAAGTGAAATATAATTATTTTAGTCTATCATTCTAAACTTGAAAGTTGAATTATTTTTAAGGAGTTAAGGTTTGTAAAAATTAATCATATACATACATGCAGGAAATTTACCAGAGCTTCATTCCTCATTGCTTAACCATAAACCCTAGTTAAACCTTGAAAAAAATCACATAAATTAAGCATTATTGGTACTAGACTCTATTACTGAACAGCAAGTTAATGTTCTTAGGTGTATTGATGCCTTTTTCAAATGTTTAATTAAAATGGACCAAATTTTCTTCAGGTTTGTTTGTACTTCAGTCTTAGGGAGATAGAGATTTGGCTCAATATTGTTACAAGTAATTGCATGGAGCTCAGCATTTTGGTTCTAATCCAAAACTCTTGTCAGACAAAGCCTCTCCATTTCCTTCAAGAGGCTTTTCATATTAGACCCTTAAATATCAAATCAGATGTCATTTTTAGAATTGCCACATTTAGAATTTAGAGGCAATTAACGCTCACACACATATTTGAATTATATGTATAAACAGTTTTACTGTCTTTCATGAGCCTGTCCATGTATCTAAGTCATATATTTGAAAATTCCTACTCATGGAGCATGTATTTTTAATAGACATTATCTAAATTCATTACCTAAAAAGTAGCACCTCCAAAACTATTATGTAATTTCTGAGTAAAGAAACAAAAATAATTTAAAGGGCATAGTGATTGGGTTTTTTAGTTCAATTTCTCTGGTAACTAATTTTTTAAAAAAGAATTAAGTATTTAATTTCTTTATGGAAATAACTCTATGAGAATATCTATGTAAAAATCCAATGAATAAAACCAACTTTTAATAAGGCAACCTTTCATGTTAGAAAGAAATGTATCAAAGTCTACTCTTCCCTGAAAATATTTTGACCTGACCATCTTACTCACCATTGTTCTGTTACCACAAAGGTTGTATTAGGAAGTTAATTATTTGATAGATTGCCTGCACCATGCTGTATTTTTTAATACATTAATTTTAATACATTAATTTCTGATGTCTCAACTTTTAAATATACTGTTTGTCATTTTTAACTTACAGTGATGGAGAGATTTATGACGACATTGGTGACGGTATGTTGAATATTTCGAACAATACTTCATTTATATTCAATTACAATAAATAACTTTATCTTTGTGTTGAAGTACTATACAATATTAATAGTTTTGCATTTTATTTCCATTTCAGATTGCATCTATGATAATGACTCTGATGCTGCATGCTCTTGAAATAACAACTTCATGGAAGATCAAACTCCAGTTTGGAATCCCACTTGTGAAAGCAAGAAGAATCACAAATGATGATTGCAAGTTAATTGGTGTCTTTTTTAAATGTACAATTAACATTTTTTGGGATTTCAGCCTTTTGTCCTTCAATGCTTTGTATTCCCATTTATCTCAGCATTTAAAATTGAGGGAATATAAGCAAAAGTTAGGGTTATAATTTTTCACTTCCTTTCCACATTTCTTACAGTCCACGTAGAAATACATCTTTAATTATCTATTCCCAAAGAGGCCAGTTCACATCTGTGAAGGGTCTAGAGGAAACCAGGTGGCAACAGGTTTTACTCTGGCTTTTATCTATTAAGCATCAAAGACAGCCACTCTGGGTAGAACAGTATTCTGATAAAAAAAAAATTATGACAACATCCTGTTGTGAAAAGAAGAATTCAAAAGTGGGCATCAGAGAAGACAATACATCACTGACCTGCCATTCCAACTGCAATAGCGTTAGCTACACTGACATATGCAGCCATGTTCCATTATTTCAAAAGTCTGTTTTTCCATGTCGTACTAATGATAGAATATCATTCTCTAAGATTTTTCTGAAGTCTACTTTAGATTATAGTGTTCTACTTTATGCTGTAGTGTTGCTCAAAATATACTCAGAACATTTAGGTTAAGATTTAATTTCTGTTTAGTTTGAAGATAAGTTGTCACCATAGTAATATAGATATTATAAGCTATAAACTGATGATAAACAGTTTGGAAATTACTTCTAGACTAAATATATAGGTATATTTATCACTCTATTTTGATAATGCCCTTTTTTTCAAAGTATTGTAGTTTACTACTAGATTTGGCTAAGAAAGAGTACAGAACTCAAGTATTTCCATGCTTATCCATTGCAGAAATAAAATTTATTCCTAAAGTTCATTTTTGATGCGGTTGTCTGAATGACCAAGTAGCAAATAAAAGCAAAGTCAACAGGTAACTCATAATGATAAATATCACTTTACCCTTATGCATCAGAAGTCACTGGAATCAAAAGACATTTGCAGTAAGCTCCCAATAAAGAGGGTGAGTGTGTGCAAAAAGTAGAATTTCCATTGCTTTTGCTGCAGTGCAAATTAGTCAAAAACCTGTAACAACCGATGTGGCTGTATCAGTGGAAGCAGCTCCTTTTGATGAATGAGTCTTGTACAACGCTGAAGGGAAGTCAGGTACACTGTGCAACAGACAGTTTAGTTTATAAACATAAAAAATGCTGGCTCTGTTAAGTCAGTGACTTTTGGTCTCACGTTCAGTGAAGCTGAGATTCTATCTTCTAAAAGTGTCTTTTATTGCTGCTTCAAAATACAGTAAATCTCAAAGGAGGCATAATGCAATGGGGATATCAAACATAAAATTATGAGATAGTGGCTATAAGCTATTTTGTACTGTATGTAAAATCACTGATAGTATATTGAAAAGCTATATGCAACTTGGCTTTCTCTTTCTATTTGCTATTTCTCCTATCTATTTCCTATTCAACCAGCATCCAGGCATCAAATAACAATTTTATGTGTAAACATCAGCTGCAGCACCCAAATATAAAACATGACCATGCATATTAAGTGCAATGAATATGTGTGACTATTTGACTGTCACTGCTAATGGATTATTTATTTTTCAGTAGCATTCAAGAGGCTGTCTGCATTAAATTAGTGATATGCCAGAGAACTGAGTGGGCAGACAGATACCTACACAACTACATAGTTCTTCCAAATTCTTAGTGTTAATTTGTATAGGCAGTGCAATTCTGTATCAATAAGACTGACTAAATTGGTCATATGATACATTAAATAATGAAAAGAAAGAAATATATTTATGGCTAAAACTCTATTCATTGCTTGTTCAAATCAAATATAATGTGATTGCTGCAGGGTGTTAAAATGAACTTTTAAAGTGTTACTCATTGAAAAATTACTGGCATTGTATCTTTTAAATTTTAGCAATGCTTTTTTGTATTTCTTCTGAATAAAAGTATTTCTCCTGAATAAAAGTATTTCTTCTGAATAAACATTTGCTTAACTAGAAATATGGGTACACTGTCTCCTGTCAAAATAGAGCAACAGTAACTTCTGAAAATTATCACTGAGCAGCTAACAGAGTGAAAATCAACTTTATTATTGTTGCAAAGGCTTACGTGGCATTTGGTAGTAATTGCTACCCAGAAAGTGAAATGTAAGCAGAAAATATTCCAGACAGGAAAATCTATACTTAGGCAGTCTATATTCTAAGGGATTCTCACCTGTAATTTATTCTAGTATCTTTTAAAAGACATAAAGAAAGAAAAGGAAAGCTCTTCACTTGATATTTTTCCACCTCCTAATTCAGTCTATAATCCTGCAGTATTTGACTGTGCCTGCTAAAACAGTCAGCAGTGAAAACATCAAAATATTGACATAAAAATTAACTTTCAGCATGAACATCCTAGTTAGGGTAAACAGAGCTGTTTACCCTAACTAGGATGTTTCCATCTGTGTTGTACCTCTGTGCTGTCCCAGTAAACAGGCTAAGCAAAACCAAAACTGGGAGGGCAAAAAAGACTTCTCTAATTCAGTAGCTTTATAACATTTCTCTGCTGTTACCACAGGCTCTGGACTGAAGGAATGCAGCTGATCTCCTGCACATTCCTGTGTAAGAGGTTTATACTCTCAATCCACATAATTGCAGATTCCCTGGCTACTCTTCCAACAGTCATAACAAAATTTCTTCTATGTGTGATCCCTTTGCATAATCCATTCTCAACTGGAAAGATCAGTACTTTAGTAAGAGCATGGAAATTCAGGGGTGGAATGCAGAGTCTCTGTGTGAATTATAACACTCCTGACCACTACATTACTCTACAGCAGACACTGCTGTAAGCACATGTGTACATAGGAACGTGTGCATCTCTTCTGTGTAATTATACTTCATTCATATATTGAGGCAAATTCTGAGAAAACTAATGGACCCATAAAAGGGCACCTTTATGATTTCTGTACAGCAGCCCCAGACCACCCTGCACAGAAAAACTTTTGTATGTAGTGAAAAGAACTGAAGTGCTAGGAGAGTCAATAGATGTGCTTGTATTTGCACAGCCTCTCTTCTGACTCCTCGTGTGGATGCCTCGTTAACTGTGTGCCCAGTCTGTAATTACATGATGGCTCAGTATTTTTTTCCACAGGATTCCTGCCTCATTTAGTGCATGGGCTGGATGAGAACTAATAGAAAGGGCAGTTGTTCTGCCCTGCTCATTCAGTTTCTGGCCATTCCTTCATTTAGTGCAAATCTTCCCAAGCTTATGCTGCACCCAGAATTGTTAGTTTCTCATGGCATTCATCACAATGATATCTCACATTCCCTTGAATAGGAATGGATTTATCTTATGAGAGAGGAAAACATTTTATCCCCATTTTAACGTATTAAAGGAAGGCACAAACAGAGAACCATTTGTGGCACATATCCATTAATCCTGGATATAAAACCAAACCACTGAAGCTAAATTAAATTTTTTGTACTTTTCTAGATTAGGACTCCCACTGTTTTATCTTCCTGTTCTTTGCCTCTGCTTATGGTTAAATAGAAAGATAAGAGAGATATCATCTTTTGTTTAGAAAGTATTAGCATGCAAAATTTGTACTGTAAATAGACTACAGAATTACAGACTTTCCAAAAGCTTCTTGAATTCTGGCAGGCTTGTTGCTGTGACCACTTCCCTGGGGAGCCTGTTCTAGTGCTCAACCAACCTCTGTGTGTAGAACTTTCTCCTAACATTTAAATCTCCCCTGACTCATCTTTAGGGCATTCCTTCAGGTTCTGTCACTGGTCACCACAGAGAAGAGATCAGTGTCTTCCCCTATGTTCCATTCATGAGGAAGCTGTAACTGCAGTGAGGTGCCCCCTCAGTCTCCTCTTGTCCTGGCTGAACAGACCAAGTGACCTCAGCAACTTCTCATATGGCTTCTCCTCCAGACACTTGACCACCCTTGTTGCCCTCCTTTGGACACTCTCTAATGGTTTCATGCCTTTCTTAGACTGTGGCACCCAAAGCTGCCCCCAGCACTCGAGGTGAGGCTGCCCCAGCCCAGAGCAGAGCAGGACAATCCCCTCCCTTGCCTGGCTGGTGATGCTGGGCCTGATGCCCCCAGGACAGGGTTGGCCCTCCTGGCTGCCAGGGCACTGCTGGCTCGTGTTCAGCTCACCACTGACCAGGACACCTTTCTGCAGTGCTGCTTTCCAGCACCTCATTCCCTGTTTGTCCATACATTCAGGGTTGCCCCATCCCAGGTACAGAATCCTCTCTGCTTTAGAGTCAACAGCTCCTCCCAGTTTTGTATCATCTGCAGACTTGCTTACTATCCATCCAGTCCTGTGTCGAAGTCATTTCTGAAGATGTTGAAGAGCACAGGGCTGAGGATGGAGCCCTGTGGAACCGCACTGGTGACAGATCACCATGTTACTAGTGACATGTCTGATCTCACCTGCCACTGTAACCTGATGTCCCTTCAGACACTGTAACCCTTTGTGCCCTGCCCATGAGCCAGCTGCTCACCCATCATAGGATGTGTTTATCCAGCTATGGGCTGTAAATTTTGTCCAGAAGGCTCCTGTGATCAAAAGCTTTGCTGAAATTGAAAAAGATTATATCAACTGGCTTCTCTTGATCAACAAGGTGGGTTACCTTGTCATAAAAAAAATCAGATTTGAACTATGTTTACAGTAACAAAAAGGTGAGTAAATCGGGAATAGTAATTAAAATTTAATGTAAATAATATTGAGAAACTTAATAAAAAGTGAGGATTAATAGCAGAATTTAGGGGGGCACATTATTACACTTTATATCAGTTGCTATCTTGCAGCTCCCATGTTGACAGGCAGTTTGTTGGTATGGTTTTGAGTGATGTCTATGGCTCTTGCCAGAATTAAACCTTTATGTGTATATGGTCTAGTATAGCCTGGTCCCAAGGCTGAGACATCTAAACCAGTTCTGAAAGAGCCAACTTATCTATAAGAAGCAATTCACTCAGGATAGCAGCATAACCCTACAAACCCTCCACCTTGACTGCTTAGCCC